GGCAGATCATAGGGTGTTTAAACAGAGTGAGGCAGACAAGGTTATGGCAGCACAGGAGGCACACAAAGCAAGATCAACATTATTTGAAATTGGAGAGGTCCAGTCAACAGTCTAATAACAGCAGGGAAGAAGCTGTTCTTAAACCTGTTAGTACATGTGTTTAAGCTTCTGTATCTTCTGTCTGTCGGAAGGCAGTATTACTGGGGTGGGAGGCGTCTTTGGCAGCTCTTCGGCAATAAGAAGTGTAGCTGGATTCCACGAATGGGAGGTTGGCTTTCATAATAGTCTGGGCTGTATGCATAACTTTCTGTTTCTTTATGGTCCTGGATTTTCCCTCTTGATTTTCCTCCTTAAGTATACTCCTGTTGCCTTTATGCTTTTTTAGGGATTCACTTGATCTCTGCTGTCTATACTTGACATGTGCTTCCTCCTTATTCTTGACCAAAGCCTCAATTTCTCTAGCTATCCAGCATTCATTACACCTATCAGCCTTGCCCATCACCCTAACAGGAACGTTCCATATCTGGACTCTTGTTATCTCATTTTTGAAGGCTTGCCATTTTCGACCTGTCGCTTTACTTGCAAACATCCGCCCCCAATCAACTGTGAAAGTTCTTGCCTAATACCATCAAAATTGGCCTTCTTCCAATTTAGAAGTTTAACTTTTTGATCAATTCTATCCTCTTCCGTCACAACTTTAAAACTAATAGACTTCTGGTCACTGGCCCCAAAGTGCTTCCCCACTGACACCTCAGTCACCTGCCCTGCCTTATTTCCCAAGAGTAAGTCAAGTTTTGCACCTTCTCTAGTAGGTACATCTACATACTGAATAAGAAAATTTTCTTGTATACACTTCACAAATTCCTCTCCATCCAAGCCCATAACACTATGGCAGACCCAGTCTACGTTTGGAAAGTTAAAATCCCCTAACATAACCGCCCTATTATTACAGATAACTCTGATCTCTTCACAAATTTGTTTCTCAATTTCCCTCTGACTGTTGAGGGCACCCTTAACAATTACTGCTTTGAATCATGGCAAACCCTGTTTAACAGAAGATGATTCTTGGTGCCCAAGATCTGGTTGCCATTCCTATTTTCTTGAGAGATTATCTTCCTCAACACTCCCTAAAATGGTGCATGTTTGAGGGAGGAATAGCCACAGTAGACTCCTAAACTGTCTTCCTACTTCTCCTGACACTCACCCATCTACCTTATACATGACCGAGAGCCATTAGGAGACAGTGGTCAGAGAAGAAGCCTAGATTGACATCAGGAACAGGAAAGCACCAAACCTCCTCTCCTTATCCAGTTGTATCAGCTCAGTGCTCCATCTACAGGCTTGCTGAAGAGATTGTGTAACTTGGCATCTTTTGCAGTTTACATCAGGACACTAGATATGGCTTTGAGCCCTTCCAGACTGCCCAGCTGCATTGATTGTTGCAGTTGAAGTCAGCGTGCATAATCGGTAGTGGGATCTGCAGAACACAATGCCTTTTGTTCACCGTTTTGAGTCTTGATACATACCTTGGTCAACTGAGGCACAGTGTCTTGTACATTATGGCTGCTGGATGGAAGTGCCTATCAGTGTGTCTGAACCTGTTGTCTTACCAACTCTAAATCTACTAATCATCACACTGTCTCCTGAATGCTCCTAAGGAGCTCCAAGTGCCTCTCCAGCCTGATATGAGACGGATCCAAATGCCCCTCCTGCAGACATAGTCTCCTGGGATAGTCAACTGTTCCCTAATATCCAACATCCAACAGGAGGAGTACACCACTCCATTGGAGTGCCATAATTCCCTCTTAAAGTTCACTCATTTACATTTGCCTAAAAAGACCGACACTTTTTTTTTCTCAAATCGAGTGTTTGTTGACTGATTACTGCTGACATTATGTGGCGAGAACTTAAACTGTACTCTATATTATAATACTTAAAAATGAAGAAACTCTTAAAAGAACCTTTTTCAAAAAAACAACCTATCCTTAACTTACCCACAGCTTTCAATTTTAAGCATGCAAAAGAATAGAAAAAAACTAAAATCTTAAAAATCCAGCACTTGGCTGTTTTTGTTTGCTGGGCATTTAGCTGCCTTCTCATATCCTCCATTAGTCAGCTCTCAAATTTCTGCATCTGATAAAGAAGTGATCAAAATTCTGTAAATTTAAAGATGGTGTTATAAAGCGGAGGTTGACACCCTGCCCCATCCACCGAGAACTAAAACCAACCCAAAGAGCACCTCTCATAATAATCAGCAAAAGGAGTGTGAAAAATGGTGTAATTAGCTTTTCAGCAATTTGCAGTGGTTAGATAAATTCCTGACACTCATTTTAAAATCAAAAAGTAACAATTTATTTATCTAATTCTAACAGTGGAAAAATTAACTGAACTATTAACAAACCGAATAAATCCCTTCTAATTAACTATTCCCGAATAAAGCAAGATTCTAATGGTAAGCTGTTCCAATAAAAAGAAATCCCACTGATATAAAAAAAATAGAATTTCGTCTCTTGAAATTACAGCCAGGTTACATGTCTTCCGGAATGTTGTGTGTCTTCTCCTTCGATTCTTCTGTCAGAAATATTAACTTGTGCTGTTGGTACCGTTGTTATTGAGATGGTGCTTTCCCTCAGACTTGGAGGAGGCTGTAGGAGCCAGCAATTCTCTCTTGTGAGCTAAGGGCCTTGAGCTCTGGCAGATGGCAGCTAGATGTCTGGGGCCTTTTGTCCAACTACCCCCTTCTTTTTCTAATCTTGATGACGAATCAATATTCCTTAAAATAGGATTGGTCCAATGTTGTCAAAACCATCAGACTTAAGATTAATAGGTTTTCTGTATCTAAGTACCTGGTTCAAATTGGCTAAATTCAAAAGCCTGTTGTCGTGGTAACAACTGCTGCTTGGCCTGCTAACTGGACAGCCTTTCAATACAAATGTTTCAACGTGGGTGCTCTCTGTGTACTTGCAAACTTTCAAGCCGTTGCTCTCAGACATCCTTAGTGATTTAAAACGCGCAGAAAAAGCCCGTGATCTTTTAAAGGGGACCACACAATCCTCCATGTCTGCTACACCGTGTGCCAACCCCCGCTCCCAAGCATTTCACAAACACCTAATTCTAACTTCCCGCCTCCCAATCCATAAGTACTCTACCCAACTTCGCAGCAATAGTTATGAATAAGGATAAGATTGGTCCTCCATGAAAGTGTTAAATTGGGCAAAGACTAATTTACAACAACATTAGGCAGGAGCTGAGAAATTAGATTGGGGGCAGCTGTTTAATGGGATATCAAATCTGATATGTGGGAGCCTTTTAAAGGCCAATTGATCAGAGTTCAGGACCAGCATGTTCATATGAGGATAAAATGTCAGGATGACAAGAAATATTGACAGATTAGTCAAAAATGAAAAATGTAAGGTTATTGAAACTGAAATCAAACCAGGCCATTAGGGAATATAAAGGAAGCAGGAAAGAACTCAAAAAAAAAATTAGGAGGGCTAAAAGGGGCCATGAAATTTCCTTGCCAAGTAGACTTAAGGAGAATCCCAAGGCATTTTGTATGTATATCAAGAGCAAGAGGGTAGTTGGTGAAAGTTTAGGTATACTTGAGGACCAAGGGCATTTACGTTTGCAACAAGTGTGTGAGGTCCTTAATGAGTACTTTGCATCGGTGTTCGTTGGAGAAGGAAATAGATGGGGGTAAGATTAATGAGGGGCATTTTGATTATTCTACGGCACATTTATATGAAAAGAGGTAGTGGTGTTGGGCCATTTAAAAACAACATTTAGGGAGGATAAGACCCCAGCACCTGATGAGAATCCAACCAAGGAGACTGAGGGAAGCCAGAGGGAGATGGCTGCGGCTTTGGAGACTTTTGCATCCTCTTTAGCCGCTGATGAGCTCCCAGAAGACTGGAGATGAGCCAGTGTTCTTCCCTTTTTTTTAAGAAGGGCAACAGGGATAATCTGGGAAATTATAGGCTGGTGAGCCTTATATCATTGGTAGGGAAATTGTTGGAGAAGATGCTTGGGGACAGGATTTACTCACATTTGGCAAAGTGTGGACTTTGTAGCGATAGCCAGGATGGCTTTTTATGTGAGAGGTCTTGTCTCTCAAATTTGAGTTTTTTGAGTAAGTGACAAAGATGATTGAGGGTAGGGCAATAGATGTTGTCTACGTGGACTTCGAGTAATTTGATTTTTCCCAATCTAAATGAAGATTGAAGTGCTGCCTTTATTACATGCTCTCGCTGGTTCCTAATTTTTTTCTGTCTTGCAGTATTGCTACTGTTATGGGGTTTACAGTCTACTCCTACCAGTCTCCCCCTCTTGTTATTTCTTAGCTTCGTCTTAGGGATTCTGTATCTTCTGATCCAAGATCATTTCTTGCTATTGTACTTAATATATCTTGTACTAACAAAGCGACCCACCCTTTCCTACTCGCCTGTTCTTCCAAAAGTCACCTAAACCTGAATATTTAGTTTCCAGCTTTAAACTCCTTTGAATTTTCAAGCACTTTGTTAATACTATCAATTTCAATCAAGTTATTCAATAACCATCCTTAGTTAATTTAATATGAATTACTGGTATTACTTTTTTCTCTTTCAAAATGATAACTACCCCATTCACAATGGTGATTTGCATTTTATACTTGATGTAGAGGCCCACCCAATTTTTTTTTTTGGAGACTTCTGAGGTTGACCTGTAAGCCGATACTTTTTGGTGTATGAATTTTGCAAGCTTTTCAATGAGTTCTCTCCCGGAGTCCATTCGCAAGTCAGTTTGTATGTCAGTTGAAATACAATGCAGGCAAGTATAGATAATATTTGTGTAGAATATTTTAAAATTGCATCGCTATATGAATTCACGTTTGTAAGGACAAGCAGTCATAAATAAGATGTTCCTAAATTGGGGATGTGTATGGACTATTTTTATAGTGGCTAGTTACAAAAAATGAACTGCTCCAAAATAAATATAACGAATATTGTTCTGTTTTCTTTCAGATTTGTTTCCTTTTGTTTGCTATTTTGTACACAATCTCCTACTTCATTATCACCAAATACAAAAGGAAACCAGGTTAGTAGACATTTGCATTCGTACAACTGCCAATTCTTGTTTGAAAGTGGCCAGTGGCAATACTTTGGGGAATGGAATTGAGAGTTTTGGTTTTGTATCTTGAAGCGCTCTTATACACAACTGAATTTTTTTTTTTGCCCCATCACCAAATCACCCATTTCTGTGGTGGAATGAGAGTTATTCACCACAGAAAGAAAAGCCTGCTCAAAATAGACACTTGCTGTCAAGGGGAGATTAAACTCTTGATGGAAAATGGTCATCATCTAGAGACAATGGATATTTTGGTTGTTGTTTTTCAAAGTCCTATTGATCCTGGAAAAGTTTCTATAGACTGAAAGTAGCAAATGTAACTTCACTATTTACAAAAAGAGGACAGGGAGAATGGTGAACTAGAAACTTTGTATTTGATATCAGTAGTCTGCAAAATATCAGGATATTTTATAAAAAGGAAGTGATTACAGAATGTTTAGACAAGAATGGTAAAATTGGCCAGAGTCAATATGGATTTGTGAAAAGGAACTCTTATTTGACAGCTTTTTGGAGTTTTTTTTTGAGGATGTTCCTTTTATAGCATAGATAATGGAAAACCAGTGAAAAATGTGTTTATTTGGATTTTCAGAAGGCTTGCGATAAGGTTTCAACCAAGATATTAGGAAATTTGCATTAGAGCAAATGGGATTAGGTGAAATCAGCGATATGAATTGAGAATTGGTAAATAGATGGAATAAATGGATTATGCCTGCAGGCTGTTATTCAAGCAGTACCGCAAGGACATCTACTGTTAACAGTCTTTAGAAATAATTTGGGTGTGGGACCAACTGTGGTATTGTCACCCCAGTTTGGTGTCAAAATCTGGCAATGTAAGGTGTTAGGAGGAATCATGGAGATTGGAAGAGGACTTGGACAGACCATGGAATTGGGCTAGAACATGGCAGATGGATTAAAATGTGAAAAAAAAAGCGAGAAGTTACTAATTGTGGTTTGGGGGGAAAAAACGTTGGAGTTTGGGAAGTGCAAATATCCACTGGGACCTGGGTGTCTCGTTCATGAATCACGAAAGTTAGTATGCACATATAATGAATAGTTGGGAAGTCCAGCTGGTATGTTGGCCTTCTTTGCAAGGGGGTTTGAGTACAGGAGTAAAGATATTTTGCTGCAGTTTTATAGAGCCTTGGAGACCAAACATTAATTCCTGAGATGGTTTGATTGCTGAATGAGAGACGGAGGAGACAGGAGCAAACACAGAAAGTTAGCTGGTTGAGGAACATTTGTGGAGAAATAAAAAATAGTTCATGTTCTGAGTCTGATATTGAAGAAGAGTTCTAGTGAAACTAGCAGTTTTAAAATTTCTTTCTATCTCCACAGATGTTGCTGGACCTGTTAAGCTGCTTCAGCATTTTCCATTTGTTTCATAGTTCAAGCTTTCAAATTGATTTTATTTGAAAGAGACAGTGTGTGTTTTCCCTTCTGTTTGTGGAGTGAGAAGTGAACTAATTAAAATTTAGAATTCTTACAGGATGTGATCAAATGATGCTGTTGACATGTTTCCCCTTCTGGTTGAGTCTAAAACTAGGGGACATAATTGCAAGGTTAGAAGTAGGCCAAGTAAGACGCAGACTAAAAGGAATTCCTTCATTCAGAAAGGGTGGTGTTTCTCGGGAATTCTCGACTATAGAGGGCTAAGGGAGTTAAATCATTGAGGTATTCGAGACAAAAATTGAAAGATATCTGAAGATGATGACATTAAGGTTAAGGGGGGAAGTAGTATTGAGGTCATCGTCAACTTTGATCCAATGGAATTGTGGAATGGGCTTCATTGGTTGAATGGTCTACTGCTTCAGTGTTCCTGTCTGGCATTGTGTACTGCAAATGTTACTTGCCACATCAGCCCAAGCCTGATGCCATAATCTTGCTGCAGCCTCATTTTGTCCTGAAACCCATCTCTGACTTAATTACTTCCTGTTTGATTTCCTTAGTTCTGGTTGGGCCTCTAAACTTCACCTCACAAACTCTGCAACCGATTTTTCATTTCCCTCCTATAACACTTGTTTTTTATCCTTTTTTAGATTTGTTCCCTGTGCATTCCCTGTTACGTTTTGTGGCTGCATCTCAAAGCAAATTCCTTCACTGTGAATGACATTCTGATGTCCTGAGAGCTTGGTCGGGACTTCTGTGAATGGATAGCTGTCTGTTTTCTTTGTTCAACTCTATTCCTCATTTCCTGCTTTCTATCCTGCCTGTAGCAATGAGGTTTTGAGTGATATACTGTTTGATTTATTTTCTTTGTGCATTATGCATCTTCCAAGTATTTCAGTATCACTAGCTTTAAACATGTTTTAACACATTTCCCTTTCATACTTTTATAATCTGCTTTCCTGGCATGGTCTTGCAATCCTACTTGTTGCACATGAGATAGCTCTGCACCTTTTTGTTTTTCATGTATTATCTAATTGTTGCTTGTATTGTGCACCTGGACAGCAAGTACAGCGTGGATGCAGGAATGATGTTCTCTGTCTGGAGGGTCTAGAATGAATGTTCGAGGTTTTCAAATATGGGGTGGACCGTTTAGGCCTGAGATTAAAAGTTTCTTCATTTGAGGGTGGTGACTCTGGAATTCTCTACCACAATGCAGTGGAAACCAAGACACTGAATATGTTTAAAGAAGAAATAGGTGTCTTTACACTAGAGGTGTCATGGAGCAAAGGGAAAGAACAGGAGTATGTTAGTGAGATAGGGGGTGAATCACGATTCTCTCGAATGGCCGAGTGGCTGAATGGCCTACTCTTTCTCCAATTTTCTATGTTTCTGTTTCAGTCTGTTCAGATGTAAGATGATATGCATGCCAAATGTTTCATTCCTTGTTATTTTTCTGTCATTAATCAAAAAAATAAATTGAAGAAAATTTAACCACTGAAGGTGAATTTAACTCCTGTACTGATGCATTGGATTTTCTTGGGTACCTTCAGCTGTTGTACATAGTCTAATCCTTGCCAAGGTATACCCAATTTCATGTCATTTAGTCAGCACCTTTAACACTGTAAAGTGTCCAAACGCACAATTGATACCTAGCCTGAGATAATGGCATTAGGACAATTTTCCAAATGCTTGACGAAAGAGGTAGGTTAAAAAGAGGAGAAGGAGAATGGTATGATGCAACGTGTATTTAGGCAGCTTTTTCCAGAAGTTAACACCTAGACAGCTGGCACCATGAACCTCAGGCAAGAGAGGTTTGAGGTGGGATTAAATGTGAAACCCCAAGTATGAACTTGGGCCAGGGTAGATCAATGAACATAAGGTGATAAGTGAGCAAGACTTGATATATGTTAGAATATAGGCAGCAGAATTTTAGTTGGGTTTAAGTTTATGAAGCTTGGAGGCTGTTCACAAGAGCATGGTACAATTGAGATAACAAGGTGTAGAGCTGGATGAACACAGCAGGCCAAGCACCTTTCTGCTCCTATGATGCTGCTTGGCCTGGTGTGTTCATCCAGCTCTACACCTTGTTATCTCAGATTTTCCAGCATCTGCAGTTCCTACTATCCATGGTACAATTGAGTTTGAAGGTGACAAAAGCACAATAAAGGATTTGACACCCCCTGACTGAGGCAGAAATGGAAATGGGCAGCTGTTGTAATGCAAAGATATGCGCTTTAGAAAATTGGTTTTCCTCAAATATCTTAGAGTTGGATTCTTTTAAAGGTGATGTCAGCACAGGTGATTGGTGAGTTTTCTCATATTTAAGTAAAAATTATTGATTAATAAATGGACATGGCAGGGTAGCCCAGACCTGCAGGGTGTGCATCCTCTTCCATGATACATCTCCAGGACACTTCTCATTCCGTGGCTAAAATGTGCAGGAAGTGTTGTCGGCCATAGCAACTTGAGCTCCAGATTTTGGAGCTTGAGCAGCAGAAAGCGTCACTGATGCATTTTGAGCTTGGGAATTTCAGGTCTGGCATGTTTGTTGATGGGTCAATGCCAACCATCAACATATTGGAGAGAGAATGAAAGATATTTGTGAAGACTAAGTTAAGATGTGGGCAGCAGAATTGTAGATATTTTGTATGAGCAAGTTTATTTAGGAGTGAAAGATTGGAGGGCAGAAGGAGTGTATGGAACATTGGAAGTGTTGCGATAATGAAAACATTGAAGGGGGCTTCTTGCAGCAGATGAGCTGAGACTGGCCTAGAGTCTGACAGTGCCCGAGAGTGTGAAAGAAGGCAGCCTTGGTGATTGGGTAGAGAGGTGATTGGAAACTCTGCTGTGTACCAAATAGGATCCTCAAGTTTGGTTCAGTCTAAAATGGTGGGGGCAGAAGTGGAGCTGGCAGATGGGGAATGAAGTTTTGTGTGTCTGAGGCAAATCACTTTTGCTTCCTTCCGTGTTTAATTGCAAGTACATTTCTGCTTAGTCAAGAATGGATGTCAGACATGGTCAACAGAGTGATACTTGATTCAGTGCTCCATTTCAGAACCAGTGTCAACAGACATTAATCATTATTCATTCCCAAGACAGCCTGTACAAAATAAATCATTAAGAATTCAGGAACAGTAAGCCACTGATGCAATAAATAAAGTTAGAGGGAATTAGAACTGTGTTACGTAGGTACACAAATGGGAAATAGGAGAAGAATATTAACTAGTTATCTGAACTGGGCAGTTTTATTGAAAGTTGATTCCTTCTAAAAAATAAAGGATTAAGTGGGTATACAACCTGACAGCTGTGCCTGGAAAAATTAGAAGAAATGCTGTTCCAGGAGAGAACTTGCCTTTGAGAGTGCTGACATTTATTTCTGCTTGATTATGAATTTGTTGGATGGCTAGCAGGGTATATCACCAGCACTTCGAGCATTTTTCTATTTGAGTCAGGAGTGGTTGCAAGACTCATGCAGCACTTCTACAAAGAAATGTAGGAACTTTTTGCACAGAATGAATAGCTGTCAGTTGGGACTGTTAGTGGCTGACAATGAGTTGTTTGTGATAGCAGCCATGTGATAACAA